CAACCATTCAAAGTTACAATGGCTCTGAAAAAGTAACTCCTCACATTTACAACAGTTATAGTGACCCTGCAGTCACATCATCAACATTCAGGCACTTTGCAACAGCTTCCTACAGAGTCAATAGAGAGGCTGGCTGTAAAATCATAAGTTGCAATCACATGAGGTCTCACTTAGCAACCCACTGGGACTCAATGGCTGAATCAGAGGTGATGTTGTAAGTATGTTGTGATCATATGATGTTTTGCTTAGCAAGTCACTTAACAACAGAGTTGCCGGTTCTAATTCTGGTCACTGAGGACTACCTGTAGAAAGAAGACCAAACTAATGACAGTACGTAGAACAACCAGTGAAGAAAGCAAACCAAGGAATCATCAAACAAATCAATCCAGAGTTCTCATCCGAGATATCTTACTTTGGAAAAATTATACAAAGACCCAACTCTCTGAAAAAAATTCTGATGCTGGGAAAAGTGGAAGGAAAAAGGACAACCAGCAGCAAAAAAGATGGACTCAAATATAATAGTGATGAGTGTACTATTAGGAGATTTGAAAGAAAAAGTGAGGAATTAGATTGTCATGGAGAAAAATCTATCTATGTGCTTGCTAGAAGTCAAATATGACTGGATCACACATGATCAAAATCAAAGTTTGTATTATACTTTTGCAAAAAAAAGTAGTATACATCCAGTATCAAGCAAGCAAACAATACTACTGATTCCCAGCTTAGTTATTTATATATTTATGACATTTATTATAACTGATAACTCTAGATAACCCACATCTACAGCAATAAAAATCTAGAGGAACAATAAAAATAAGTTTCCAAAACACAGGTCTCAGAATCTTGTGGGGAGAGGGAAGGATGTCCAATGGGATAGGGGCTGCTACCAACGAGGTGCACTTCCTAGAGCTGAGGTCTCCAAACTTGGCAACTTTAAGACTTGTGGACTTCAACTCCCAGAATTTCCCAGCCAGCATGCCCTGTCCTAGAGCGTTTGCTAGATTACAACATTTAAGGGAAGGGATCTGGACTGCACCCACCCTGTCTGTCCTGGGGAAATAGGCAAATACCCTCAGGGAGAGGCAGTCCCACATGATAACGTAACTTGTATATTATCTAATCCATGGGTGTACAAACTTGCTACATCATGTGACGTGTTGCAAGATATTGCAACTCTTTTTGCATTGCCGGCAATGGGGTGAGTGCACCTTCAATATGATGAAACCATCCCGCGGGCTGGCAGTTTAACACCCCTGATCTAATCAAACCACAGTTGAAAGGCCATAATGACTGAGTTCACGCACAGTAAGCCAAAAATAAATATTACCATTTACAACAATGTGTACAACTGAGAACATAAGCCAGCAGTTGAATTAGTTCTAAACTAAGAGAAGAAAAGAAAGAGAGATTCTAGGGACCCAGGGATAATGCATGGCTCATTGGCAAAGCTCAGACTCAGCTCATAAAGACTATGCTGTTTTGTATTATAGTTTTTTCAAAAGTAATTCAACTAATTCTTATGTATGCCACTGAAACTATCACTCAAGTGTGATAGTTATCATCATCTTCAGATGGAAGAGGGACAAAAGGCGCCATCTTCATCAAATGGATTATCAAAGGCCTCCTACATTCTTGGTCAGCAGGAAATGTTTTCATTACGAAAACAAACTGATCGCATTTTGGAGACACAAAAGCCCAAGCGAGAAGTGAGGTCATGGGGGGTTGAGACAATGTATTTTTAGTCATTTTGATAAATTATAGAGATGCAAAGTTGATAATTTATTGAAGAAGGGAAACGGGGGACTCTGTGTAAATGTTTTCAGATGAATAATTACTGTGGCTTTCTAACATTGTGGGGTCTTTAATTAAAGCCTGTGTTAAACAAGGCAAAGCATTCAAGCCGGGTGATATACAGCAGCTAATTGCACCTTTTCTGTGGAAAGAAAAGCAACAGCTCAGAAAGGAGGTGTAGCTTCCAGGCTGAACGGAAGACAGATTCTACCCAGGGAGAACCCAGCGAGACTTTAATTTGGACTGGTGGGCTCGGTGTCTATGTAATCTGCCTTGTGTTGGCAGGAGCCTCAAAGGATGGCATCAGCAGGAAGGGAAGGGGGAGTTCTTCTGTTGCCAAGCCTTTACCAAACAATGGCGATTTCAGCTTCAGCTGCTCTCTTGCTATCTTTCTGAGCATTCTGGGCACTTGATAGTTTAATTCTGAATATACATATCTCTGCAGTAGGAAGAAAGGGAAGTCCTATTAGAACTGATGAGACTTATTTTAAGTTCTCAGAAAAGAGAGGTTCATAGGTTGCATTAGGTCACACCTCCCTGGGGGGGTTACTTTACTGTTGGAGGAGAAGGATTTCTTTATTTAAGGATGAAACTGGACACGTCAAGTCCCCTGGGAGTCAATGTACCTGAAAATTCAGAATGTGCACTGTGTAAAAACAAAGAAATTGCCCTCCTCAAGGGTGGGAAGTGGAAGTAAAACCCCATAGGTGAGGACACGACATAATGCAATATCTGTATCTCTCTGCTCTGAGAGCCTAAAGAAATGGTGGATTGAATATGCCATTCTTCTAGATATCCCAACCTGTTATCCCTGAGTACTAGAACCTGCATACTCCTAAGGCTAATGCACAGTATATAATCTAAAGTGCAAAGGCCTGTGAGTTCAATTCCTGGTAGAGAGTTTTAATCCCATACAATAATGTCTGGCTACACACATCTAAGCACTAAGGATAAAACCAGGCATGTTATGCAATAGAAATAAAGGAAAAGACAATATTTAGTATTGTTGCTTCGTCAGGATGTGCTGGCATTAATATTGATCTTAGGAGACTTAAACCACATTTTAAAAACAAATTTTATTTCAAACAGAGCAAAAAAAATGCAGGACTCTTCTGTTTGGCATTGCTTGATACAGTAGTTGCAAATATGGCTTTTCCTAACTCTAACAGTAATTATTATGAGATGAGAAGATGTCCACTCTTCTCTCAGCAATCACAGTGGTTCCATAATGCACCAGACTGGATGAAGAAGCAGGAGTAAATTTAATTATCCCTAAGAAAATAGAATTGGACCCTAATATTTGCTAGCAAATAGAACACACCTAAATAGCAATATGAACCAAAACACAGCCTGCGTACATACTTAAAATAAGTAGATTGTGCTACTTTATATTTACATCTGTTAAGTACATGTAGGCAGGAATGTGTACCGAGAACACTTAAAGCAGCAAACAATTATAAAATGGAGATTAAAATGAGGATTTTTACATATACATTTAAAAAAAAATCAGTGGTCTTCTTTTATCCTCCTTTTAAGAGGGATGTGCTGCTTTTTTCTGGCAATCCTAAATGACCGTACAACTGTAAGTTTCCTAATTTTTTTGCACACCAGTTACAAGATAGCTAATTCACACACATGACAAGAATTAGATACCGGAATTGAGAAAGTTTACACTGGAATCCTTTGTGATTCAGAGTCAAGAGGCTCTTTCAGCTGATGAGGATCACTCCTTTAAGCAGAAGGGCCAAAGGCTGAAGCTGAGACCTTTAGCATCCGCCCCCCCCACTCTCTCTGTGTATATAGTCTCCAATGAGTTCCTATTCCTCAGTAATGATAACCAATTTTCACATATATTGTTAGATTTTCCGCTAGCCATGAGATTATGATGGAAAATTAAAGAATACTATTTTTGTGAAGGAGATAACTCTTTTATAACTAATGGATTTTAAGTTGAGTCACAAATAATACAAGAAGTTAATACAAATAGTCCTCAGCTTACAATCACAATTGAGTCCAAATTTTTTTTGTTGCCAAGCAAGAAAGTTGTTGAGTTTTGTCCCATTTTACAACCTATCTTGCCACAGTTGTTAAGCGAATAACTGAAATTGTTAACTTAGTAATATGGTTGTTAAGTGAATCTAGCTTCCTATTGACTTTGCTTGTCAGGTCACAAAAGATGATCATATGACCCTGGGACACTGAAACCATCATAAATATGAGCCAATTCCCAAGCACCCTAATTTTGATCATGTGACCATGGCAATGAAGTATGAAAAATGGTCATCAGTACTTTTTTCAGTGCTGTTGTAACTTTGAATAGTCACTAAAGAAAAGGTTGTAAGTCAAGAATTACCTTTATTTTACTCATGCTTCTTGTATATATCTGTAACATATAGATACATATGCTCCAAAAAATTGCTCCCTGGCAATCCTTCCAGTCTATATACAGTATGCACAAGATGTAGGAAGCTATTGTGTAACATTCTGCATGTGAGAATCTCTGAGCAACCATCCATCCCCAGATAAAACATAGTGCTGTATTCAAGTCTCAAAATGTGATCATAGTTTCATAATGTGTTTGTGGGTGTGTGTACACAGACAGTCAGATAGTTAATTTGCTTAATGCAGTGCAGGAAGCCAGCCACTGTGATGTATAAAGCTCCAACTGTAGTCTGATCAACAAACCATAATATAACATGATAGGGAAATCTGTTGTCTAGGTTGCAAATCATGAGTGAAAAGGTCTTTTTTTCTTTTCCACCAGATGATATTTTTATCTTGCTTAGTTCATTCTGGCCTTGGTTCATGCAGCTACGTAAAAGGTGGAAGTATAAAAAAATGGCCCAAAAAGTGTTTAAGAGACCAAACTAATAAGCAAATTATATCAAGCCGGGAGCTCTGTGTGTGTGTGCGTGTGCGTGCATGTTTTTGTGTGTGCGTGTGTGTGTTTGTGTGTGTGTGTGTGTGTGTGTGAGAGAGAGAGAGAGAGAACATGTTTATGTTTTGCATTTATGTGGGGAAGGAAATATAAGGTGCTACCACAATTGATCTAAATTTGGCAAAACCTAAAGCAAATTGGACAAGGAATTGAATTTATTTGGCCTCTTTTATGCATTACCTCATGGTATGACTAATTTAGGAGAACTATTCAGAGTAATATTTCCTTTAAAAGAATTGTAGCGAACATAATTTCTAATGTCTTGCATTAGATTCTGTTGCTGAACAAAGCACGGGAAAATAAGTCAAAAGCCAAACAGATGAAAGGTGCAAAAGAAGGAAACCAATACTTACCCTCAGGATAAATGCAATTCTTGAGAAAAGAAAGAACTGACTGGGAGAAAAAGGTAAAGAAACAGCAAATGAAGTAGAAGTCCAAATTTTACTTACTTACCTTTCTCTATCCCTTTAATACAGCAGACTATGTATAATTGCTATTCAGAAATCATAATGTTGGATTTGCCTCACTATAAAGCAAGGTCCTTTGAAACTGGCATCAATTTTACAGAATTAACATATGAAAATGATAGTGATGTTTTATTTCTGGAACAGATGGTAACCTTAGTTACCAAGCATTCTCTTTCTGTGGATACATTCCTATTTTTAGACAATGTTTTCATTTACTAAATTATGTGTGCACATGCACACTCATATTGACACACAAAGAAACTGGTGTACATGAGAATCCTTTTGAAATGTATAATGTGAAATGCACTTAGTTCCTTTCAGTCGTGCTTGTGATAGAAAATGTTGGAGCAAATTGCACAGAAAGGATAGCCTTTGCGTCAAATACAAATTCAATCATCTTCATCACAGAGATGAGGAAGGCAAAATAGAGAGATGCGGTTTATACAAAAGACTATAATGAAAAAAGCTGAACTGAAAAGAATATGACAGTAACATTCCTTCTGTGGAAAACGAAAATATTGGCTATTGTTCTTCTATGCAAGATTTAGGCCCAGGTGAACTAAATGAGGCCTCATGGAAAAAGTATTGAATCAAAGTCTGTGCTATGCTTAATTTTGCAGTTTGCAATTGTACTTTACATACTTTAATATAATTTTGCTAAGCTTGCTTGTTTCAAATATATTTAGAACTAGCTGTACCCAGCCACGCGTTGCTGTGGCTCAAGAAAGAGAAAGTGCATGTTTGTAATATGTTTAATTTCACAATGCTTGTGGGTATACAATATTTTTTGTTGTTCCATTGTGTGTGCAGATATAGAGATTACATCCAACAGATGGCCCTGTTTTTCAAAAATAGCATGTTTTTACCTGTCAGAGGTGTGACATCTATATAAAGAGGTATATAAAATGCACATATTTGAATGCAACATTGTGTCAAAATTTCAAAGCAATCGGTGAAGAACTTTCGGAGATTTAAGATTTTGAACAAACGAACATTTACATTTTTATTTATATAGATATAAGGACTGGAACTGTAAGAAATAGGGAACTGAAAGTAGCTGATGGATGCAGGTTCCAATGTACACAAGTATGTGGAAAGTTATGTTCAGCAGAGGGTCAGCAGAAAGTCAGCAGAAAGTGCAAGGTTGCTGACTATCTATCTACAGTCTTAGGATGAGAAAGGTATAAAAGGTTGGGATTGGGGCTGATTGATTTGCCACTGTTCTATAGCTATTCTTATTGGAACTGCTATGTCATTGGACTCACTGCAATGGGTTTTTAACATAAGTGATGTTTATGTGTGTGTTCCAAATTATTGCTGAAATAAACCTCTGAATCTTAAAGTAAGAAGTATTACTTTGTGTTGCTGTCTCTTGTTTTTTTCATTGGGTTTTTCCACGACACTTCTTTTATACTAATTTTAACATTGTAATATATACTGGATATTGTTTTAATAAATGAAACATTAAACATCAAACCAGAAAGCCAGGGAAGAACATATTCCTATTACAATTCGACTCTTGGCAATTTAGAGTTATGAGCTTTTGCTGCTCTCTGCTGGGCATTAGAATGGTACAACAAATGGATTACTAAGAAAGAAACCACATACTATGCATTATATTTAAAGATACACAAACCAAATCAGAACTCACTTTAATTAAGATTCAAAAATATCATGCTGCATTTCTAATTCATAATTAAAAGGCTCAAAGGAAAAGATTTGATTTGATCCAATCCAAATTTTGAAAAAAAGATTTGCTTATGTGCTATAAATCATGTGCGATGAAGAGAAAAGATCAAAATGCCTGCAATCCCTGCTTCTTTTCTTTTTTTAATAGAATGGGAAGAATGTAACAGAGATGATATACCATTTAGAGCACATTAATCTATTTACCCAGTAAAACTGAATGTAGCTTTAAAAAAGCAAATGTTAATAAAATTGGAGCAATGATAAATGAGATCCTACCATCTCTTGCTTTTTTAAAAGATCTGCAAATTGGTGATGCTTTCTAAAACCAAACTGTATGAAATTCTGATAGGAACTTTAATGACATCTGTTGAGACATGAAGCATGGTTCTTTCAGAAAATTCCTGATTTTATTATTGATAACTTCCTGGAAGAAGGCATAAGGGTCAGCTATTTTTGATTAATGCAAATTACTAAGGAACATTTAGTTCAATAAATAGAAGTAGCAGGAACATTACAGGAAAGTAAATGTTGGAGTTATTGATTAAATTTATTCAAACATTTTCTTGGACTTTAAAAAGTGGAAGTTAAACTGAGAGCAAGCCCATATTTACCAGCCATTTGATTTGGGATGATCGTGTGGACCTGTTTGGTAAAGAAAGTGATCTTAGAATATAAACTGACAGCAAACAGCACTCCTTACTAGGACTGATGATGTTACCTAATTAGGGTAATGAAATGTCTGCAAGAAAACAAGCAAGAACCCCTCATTTCAACCCTGAGCTACAAATATTCTTCTTCAAAGTGATCTTAGTTCTTTCAAAATTTGTCCTTTTGAATTTTAGTCCTACATCATCCATTGTCTGATTGTTTGAGAAACTATGGCAGTGACTGCTGAAGAAGTGAATATTTGTGAATGCCTGTGTAATTATGTGCTGAGAGCAAGCTAGGGATCCTGCTTGTGTACCCCCTAATTTGCTTCATAGCAGGGTCCCTTTCTGACCTCCTGAAGCTTATCTTGGACTATTGGTAGATTTTAGTATAAAAGAAATATAACCTCCATTCCCAGGGCTGAGATGAGGAGCATCTAGTGACCCAATCATTTCATAAGCTTGGTCATGAGAAATATTTCCCTGTGTGCTGATCCTTGGTTTATAGAGTAAGTGTTGGTAAAGGAAGACCATGATTGAATTGGACCAGATACAATTAAGAGTTCATGTTTAAGCTACATCCTTATTACATCAGTGGACTGTGCCTTGTGACTGTAACTCAAATACTTTAAGAAAGCAGGAGGCTCTTCCCAAGGGATTCCTCAGATTTTGGAACAAGATAAACTTATCTTAATCTACCCTGGCTGGATGCCAAATGGGTAGAGTCAAAGAAGCTTGCAATATGATCTGAAATTAATTTTGGCATGTGATCCTGACAAAGTAAATAGGGTCACCTGTAGTGTAACCTCTGCCACAAACAGGTTAGATCCATGCACAAGCTATTGCTTTTGAGAAGTATGCAGGAGCTTAAGAAAGTGGATCTGGTAAGTGCTTCTCCAATGAATCCTTGAGGTTTTTCCCCCTGCTGCAAAAGTCCTTTGTTTATCTAGACAATCTAAACAGATACTGCCTTTTTGCTCTTCTTGTTTGACTTTTGGTAGGACACATTTAGATTGTTGTACAAATTATATTGAAAGCACATTACAGTGAAACATAGGCTGGTAATTTGCCTGTCTCCTTGTCACAAGAGTGCATTTATTTGTTGATTATGCAATTTAACAAACCAATAAATATCTTGAACATAAAAACTAACAAAAAGTACTTTTAATACTATGAAATAAAACTGTAGGTATGGCTGACTTATTTAATAAGTGTATACATTTATCCCTGATGATTGACTATTAAGTAGTGACAGTCAATCATACCCTCACCACCTCCCAGATAGAATATTATAATTATTTGTAAGGTGCAAAACATGGAGCTGCCTTTGAAGACTACTTGATATCTGCAGTTTGTGCAAAATGCAGGACCCAATTGTTTGCAGCTGAGAGGTACTTTTCTCATATAATAATGGTGGTGCAGGGTCTGCCTTGGTTATACTGGGTTCAATTCAAAGTGTTGGTTTTGACCAATGAAGTTCCATATGATGTTATGTACAATTACATGCAAGGCTATCTGCTTCAAATAGAATCAACCTGTCTAGCTCATATTCCCATTCCCTGCCCTATAAGAGAGATGCTATAAGAGAAGTTAATGTTTTTCATTATGGTCACCACTCCCTGGAATGCCCTGCTCATTGTAATCTACATGGTGCCTTATTCTTGGCATTTATGAAATTGGTTAAAATGGAACTGTTCAAAAGAGCTTTAAATCTTGTAAATTGGGAGACATTAATGATAATGTGTTTTTATGATATTAGTGATATTTAATTTCAGTTGGATTTCAGGGTAACTTCCCTAATAATAATTCTTCTTACTCTTAGATCAAATTGCCCCAGGAGGTGGTGGCCTCTATTTCACTGGAGGTGTTCAAAGATTGGATGGTAATCTATCAAGGAGGATCTCAGTAGCAGATTCCTGCTCTAGAACAGGAGATTGAATTGGATGTAAGTCCTTTCCTATCCTTATAATGTACAATTTTATGCCTGAGCTTTTTTTGGGGGGTGAGAGAGACAAGAAAAAAACCCAAGGTATAATTTTTTAAAATAAATAATTCAGCAACTACTCAAGAATGACCCGGTTATGTGAAGTAGTAAACATCCACCTCAAATCTTTTGTGATGCTTCAGCAAGCATGGCCTCACTTTGTGACAACATTGTTTCTCACTTGTCTTTTACTAGTTACAATAGCCTTTAAAACTCAGGTAGAATTTAATTTGGAAATATATGTTAAGTCTACAGCTATACAAAATTTTGTTGACAAATGAACGATTGGGAGATTTTCACAGGTAAAAGATGCAATCCTTTTCTCGCATACACAAATACAAGTTTTTCAGTGGTTTCTATATCTTTTGTCCCATTTCTTCTGTCTTCAGATACATCCTTACATGTTATTTTCCCTGTTACCTACCCTAGTTACTTCCAAATTGGAAGAATACCAAGTTCCATAATTCCCAGTCAACAGTTCCTTTGATTTAGAATTATAGAATCTGCAGTGTGGAAGATTTCTGACAGAGGTAGGCTATCTTAATGGCTTTTTTTACTCCCTGATTACTCTTCAATTATTCCATTTTACATCAGAAGAATCAAAGTTGCATTGAAAGACTTTGAATTCTAGTTATAGTTAATTCTCTCCACCGCTCCTCCAAAAAACCAAAAACCAAACCAGTTCAAGATATCTTGAATTCTAGCAACATTCTCTCACAGTGAGAACAGCCATACTCAAATCCACCCCTAACTCCATAATTTACAGATGACTGGAATCTGTATGTTATATTACTAGGATAATTCACAGGATTTTAGTCCTTTGACACCTTCCTTCTATCCACCATCATTAAAGAACTATCTCTGGAAAGAAGTTAAGAGCATAGGGGTTGAATCATACTGAAACACATGATGGGTTAGTGCAACATTAAACACTGACTAGAATTGGCTTTCTGCAACCTAATCTAAAAATGCCATGGACTGAAGCAAGAATGCTTATGCTGCTTTACCAGAGCACGCAGACTGTGAAATCTCTACCGTACAGTACTTAGCAGTACAATTTAATTTTTGAAACCAAAAAATATGTTTAAGTATAAAATTCAAATTACTTGGGCAAATTAATATATACCATTTAAGTCTGACATCTTTAATGAAAGAATACGGAAGGAGGCGTATAAGAAATACACTATGGACAAGGCATTAACCAAATCCTAATATGTATTTATTGCAAAATTTGGATCTATTTGTTTTATATGTGGTCTAGTGATTAAAGCACCAGGATAGAAACTAGGAGACTATGAGTTATAGTCCCGCCTTAGGCATTAAAGATAGTTGGTGACTTTGAGCCAGTCACTCACTCAGTCCAGAAAGTCAGTCTTGGGTGACAAGCCGGTCAATCGATTCCTTTCGGTGCCAATGGATCAACACTTGGTTGATCTGAAAAAAGCAGAACCTGCACTTCCTTGAAAACATTGTGAAGAAAAAAAACGTGTGAAGAACAAATATGGCTTTTACATAAATTGTAAACTCACACTTGTATATAAGAACTAGGGCTCTGGAGAGACAGTCTGACTCACTTTGAGAGCAAATTGTAATACCCTGAAAAAAAGCATGATCCCTATTGAGGTGATCCAGGGTAGTCCATCCTAATTTTCAGAAAATGAATTGACCTTCCCCTTATCTAACACAGGAAAAACAAGATAATAGCCTAACAGCACTTGTAACTTTTTTTTTTTTTTTGCTTTTATCAGAATAATAAATTTGCAGGAAAGTTAAACTATTATAATACCAAATTATGTGGAGATCAAAAGAACAGCAAAACTGAACCAAGGAAAGTATATAGCTACTTTAGGAATTGAATGGTGCATCCTAATGTCCTCCTAACTTTTGGCTTGAGAATGCTTGATTAATCATTCCTGAAGGACACCTCTGCATGATGCAGCCTTCCTCTCATCCCCACTCTAAAGGCCAATTACTTCAGAACCACAGGTGAAGAGATTTTTTTTTGTTTTCCCCAGACACAAGCCTTTGTATAATATTTGTATGAGGAACTAATTATATGATCAGAAGAGGGATCTGCCCAGCTCCTATTTTAGCTGATGGAGGCATGCCTGCACTTTCCAATTGCTTGTAATAGATAATTGCTGACAACCAGATCATACAATGGGAAAAGTATGACCTTCAGAAGTAATTTTCATTCTCTTTTCCCAGACTCCATGTATAATGTTGGGGCTTTGCCCATAATAATTGTATTATCTGAAGCAAGTAAGTTTTTGCATTTTATCCAGCGGTGTCCATGCAACCTGCTGATATACTGTCCAAGGGATTCTACAGATTTGCACACACTGTGTCAGCAGGCCATGCTGCTTGAAATTGAGAATCCTCTTGTTTCAGCCGGTGCCACTTACCTGTCCAATATACCATCTGAGAATTTGGAGAAGAGAATATTGTATGGTCCTATCTGATTATATGGAGTAAATGTGTAGCCTATGTCTCTTGATGAAACGGACATGTTCTTCCAGACTGTGAGCTCAGCCACCTGTTTGTTAAATGCAGGTTCTTTTTGCTTTGTCAAGTCTGCCCAGGAGGTATCCTGTCATTGGGACCATGAAGTGATATTATTTGAGAGAGGTGGTTGACCTTACAACCATGAAGCAAATTGTGGTACACCCTCTCCTCAAGAAGCCATCACTGTATTTGGCAACCCTGAAAAATTTCCATCCATTCCCTTGTTGGGAAGATTTTAGTGAATGTAGTTGAGCTTTAGCTCCAGAGGCTCCTGAAGTAGACAGATTATTTAGACTCATTTCAGTTGGGTTTCAAACTAGGTTACAGTATCGAGATAGCATTGATTCTCATTAATTTATTGTGGCAGAGTGGGGAAGGGAGAATTCAGCTTTCTTTGTGCTTCTAGATCTTTCAGCTGCTTGATTGTGGTATCCTTCTAGATCAGCTGCAAGGTTTGGGATAGGGACAATGTTTTGCAGTGGTTCTCCTCCTTTCTTTGTGGCTGGTTTCACTCAGTGTTAACAGGCTTGAGAAACTGAGCCAAAGCTCGTCACATTTTTGGAGTGCTGCAGTGCTTGACATTCAATCCTTTCTGTTAGAAATCTATCTGAAACTACTGGGTGAGGTCATCCATTGCTTATGGGTGAGGTATTGTCAGTATGACACTCAATTACACATTTCAGTCCCAGGCCAAGTGATGTTGTCAAAGTTCTATCCCACTGTCTGAAGCAGGTCTGTATAGAAAAATAATTGGATGGTTACATAGCTGACTTACTAGTGAAATACAAAGTGTTGATGATCACCTATAATAAGGCATAGGGCAGTGGTTTTCAACCTTTCTAATGCCGCGACCCCATAATACAGTTCCCCATGTTGTGGTGACCCCCAACCACTTATACATCACCAGGTGCCAGCGGCGTGGCCAAAGAAAAAGGGGGAAAAATGGCAGACAGCCTTGTTTGGTGACCCCCGTGAAATGGTCGTTCGACCCCAAATGGGGTCCCGACCCACAGATTGAGAACCACTGTCATAGGGTCTTATTATTAAGTGATCCTCATCTTCAATTGTTTCTGCCTGGCTAGTGCAATTAGGCAGAGAAAGTATACCCTGTGTGTAGTAATCTCTGTCATGGTGCCTGCCTGTCTGGAATATTTCCTGAGATCCAGATAGCTCTCACCTTGATGATGTTCAGGAAGTTATTAAAAGCCCGGATATTCTTCCAGGCTATGAGCAACAAAAGGTTAGGGTTAGATGGCTTTGCTTTGGTTTTATGTTGTTTCTGAGGTTGTCCGTATTTTTTTTCTGTTTTGTATTTTCTTTTTACTTTTAATTATAAACCATCCAAAGTTGAGTAGCCAATAATCTCTCTCTCTCTCTCTCTCTCTCTCTCTCTCTCTCTCTCTCTCTCTCTCTGTGTGTGTGTGTGTGTGTGTGTGTGTGTGTGTGTGTGTGTGGGTCCCTCTCTCCTGTACAGCCCTAGAAATCAGTGCAGAGAGGTTTTGATTATACTATTTTAATAATTCAGTTTATTAAAATTCCAATAACAATATTTTTTTTGTGATGTGATAAAATGTGCAGCAAGAATATTATGGCAAATTTCAGGTAGAAAAGAAATTATTTTCAGTGGTAAAAAATGTTAGTAAGGTAAAAATAATGTCCCTTCTTGAATGTGGCAAAACCAGTCAATAGTGAAGCACAAGAATTCATTACATCCAAAATGTTACTAACCTTTATTTTGTATGAGTGTGTGTGTGTGCGCATGCATGCTCATGGGTATATATACATTGACACAATTAGTGACTATAGTTGATTTATTTTTAAAAAATACACATACAATCCAATGCATATTTATACTGTTCAGTAACACATAATATCAAGTTCTGAAATCAATGAATAGGTTTGTATTAAGGCTTATTTCTGAAACTTGCAAGGCAACTCATTTACTTAACAGAATGAGAACACTTTTCTCTGTTGTTATATGCCTGAATTATTATAATTAAAACTCAGAATTGTTTCCTAATTAAAATACTAATATTTTAAACTTGCTGACTTCCTATGAGTTTTTTTAGACCTGTTATTAAATAACAGCAGAATTAATTATTTTCCATTATATTTCCATACAAGTATACTACCAGCTTGAACATCCATTTATCCCTATGTCACCTGCTGCTTTAAAAACAACCAACACTATCACTGTAACTTATTTATATTACATGGATTTTCTCTTCCTTCATGCTTTGAGTTAACAAGTATATATGTTGAGTCCTTCGCGGAAATGTAAGACACGAGAAGCAGTTATAGTTCTCAGTTTTCTTTATTCTGCGTTCGGCTTACAAGTAGATGGCTTCAGCAGCTCCCAAAACCTCCCAGCTTCTTATATAGACATTTCCCGGGTCAATGCGATACTTTTCCCACGCCAGCACCCGCGCATGCGCACGGCGCTGGCGACAGCCTGTCTGGTCCCAGGCAGCTTTGCACCTGCCCGGGACCGCCTGCAAACGCCCCGAGCCGTTTGCAAGGCTCGGGACATAACAATATATATCTGATAAAGTAAGCTGCAGTTCATGGAAGCTTTTTATAAAATTTGTGCTTGGAAAAGATTATACCAGATTCCTTCCGATTTTTGACTATCCTGGATCAACACAACTTTTTACCTACTGTGCTTTGCTAGCTACTGAATCTAAAGTACTCCAGTTGAGATCGGTATGGTTTTATTATTATAATACATCATCATTTTATGTTACCAATTCTACATTCCCCTCTAAGATCAGAGATACATGATTTTAAAATGTCATAGATAATATTTAATAATCAAGTAAGAGTCCATTTCTGCCAATATTTAAAAAAAAAAAGCTAAGATGACAATTCTGTGTTGCTTATGTTAAATATATTCTAACTTTATTAATTATTCTCCCCTTAAAAAATTAGGAGTATTTTCATTGAACTCAAGGAACACACTGATGAATATTCAATCCACAACTTCTCTTCAAAACTATATTTTATTGTGTTCCTATATTGAGCAATTCTGATCAGAAAAGGCACGTTATACGTGAGGGCACTTTTGCCCTCTAGAAAAATGTCTACCCCGAGGACAAATGCCCGGTTACCATTCAGGTGACTTGCAGCAAGTTCTGTCTCTTTCCTAGGAAAGCACTTTCTGTTGCTTACGAGACCCACCATAAGATTCAGGAAGGCATGCATAGGAGTAGTTTCCATAGCAACTACGACGTCTTCTCACCAACTCTCCCCCTCCGGATGGAATAGAACTCACAACAACTTTACTGAACATCCCAAGCAGCAAAAGACCTTACCGGACAGGTGGGAGATGAAACGCGTCTTTGCTCCCAGATGGCAGAACCAGAACCAGAACCCGAACCCGAGCCGCAGCCCGAGCCGGAGCCGGGGTCAGTAGAAAAACAGGTGAGGAGGCGCCATGATGAGTCAAGCGGTGGGCGAAAGGGGCGTGAATCTCATAGAACAGCCTCTAGGATACCTATCCTTCTTCAGCCTAAGCACCTTCTCCATTTTTATTTATGCGGGAAAAAACAACAACAGAGTCTCGCAGGGGTGGATAGCTACTTGCAGAGCCCCGAGAGTGGCTCGGGAACCCTTCCAAAGCCATCCAACGCTCAAACAAGAGTTGCCCTATTTTGGAAGGGACCCGCTTCCATCCCTAGTACACAGCAGTTCTCGCTTAAAAGTGTGTCTCGGGAGCCTTGCGATGAATGGACTTCAACTCCCAGATTTCCCCCAGATAGCATGCTGGCTAGAGGAATTCTGGGAGTTGAAGTCCACCCATTTTAAAGTTCCTGAGATTGAGAAACATTGGTTTAAAACACTCCAGAAATTTCCACACCTAGCAGTCTCAGATGAGAAAGATGGCTATGCTGTAATTTAAAGGGCATCTGATTTAAGAGAAGTTGGTATGGACTTGAAACTTTATTAGAGAGGAAGCCTAAATTTGTTACCCATAAGCAAGGGGCACTGCAGCAAAGGGTAGGATTGCAATGTAAAAAAGGCAAGACCCCTTAACTGCAATGAAATTGAAGAGAACACTTTAAATATTTGTTGCAGCTTTTCCCAACCAAAGTTTGGGAGTTCAAATTTACAATTCCTTGGCACTGTCTGGGAAGATTTGATTAGCAGACAATTTAATCTTATGATTTATCTTATAGTTATATTCAGTGCTAGAAGAGCTATAATTCAAACTCAACATTGCATTTATAATCACTCAAGGGTCACATAAGATTGCAATCCTGAATTGCACCTGTTGCCATCCCCCAAGATGAAATAATCCAGTTTATGTTACTTTGAAGTAAATTCTTCTCTAGAAAGGATAGCATAAGATTGCAATCCTGAGTCCTAAAGAGCCAGGTGAGGTGGTATGAAACCTAAACAAATTAGTACATGTAAATAAAATAAAATCTTCTTGAACAACATCCAATTTTTACAAGATGTTCATATTTTTTTGTTAGCAACACTGCAGAATAGGTTTGCCTTGGATTTCCCCAGACCACCTACAGATTTGGTATTATCTGACTATCTTCTATTCAAGTACTAACCAGGCTCAGTCCTATGTAGCTTCCCAGTACAGATGAGGGTTGCTGGGATGTTTCTGGGTATTGTATATTTGTTATAACAAATACACAAAGTGAACTGTTGAAATATAGTAAAATAGTAAAAATTCAGAAAAAAGTAAAATAGAATTTAAATTGTCTCTGATAAATAATCCAAATGTATGCAACATACCTTTTCTCCCATTATTACAAATAAAAATAAGGTCAACTTTGTATTTTCAGAGCATTTTTTTCTGGATCAGGATGTCCATATCTAATTGTTAAGGGTTAAGATTAATTAGGAATGCTTTATTAGTAATAATGTTTTAAATTAATTTAGCTGTTTCATTGACAGACATTGCAGCCTTAAGATTGTTAAAACTAAGCATGATAATTTTAATAAATATAATAAGCTTTCACATTTAAAACAAATCTATCCTTATAACACGGGGTGTCAAACTGCCGGCTCGCAGACTGGATGCGTCATGGCGAAACTGCGCCCACCCCATTGCTGGTAATGGAAAAAAAGTCACATGACATTGCGAGTTTGTCAACCTTGTTATAACAGATTTCTTGTGCTTATTGTAGACAGCTGTGTCCCAACTGTGATGGAACAACAGCAAATAGATTGACCATGAAACTCCCTTGGTCAAGCAAGCAATTTCCCCTGGGGTCTTTTTCTCTTTTTCATAGATTTTTCTCTTTAGCAAACTATTCAGTTTATTTGAAAAGCTTCTCTGCCTGTTCTTATTTGTTGTTGTTAATTGCGAAGTCGTGTCCGACCCATCGCGACCCCATGGACAACGTTCCTCCAGGTCTTCCTGTCCTCTACCATTTTCTGGAGTCCATTTAAGTTCACACCTACTGCTTCAGTGACTCCATCCAGCCATCTCATTCTCTGTCGTCCCCTTCTTCTATTGCCCTCAATCTTTCCCAGCATTAGGCCCTTCTCCAGTGAGTCCTTCCTTCTCATTAGGTGGCCAAAGTATTTGAGTTTCAACTTCAGGATCTGGCCTTCTAAAGAGCAGTCAGGGTTGATCTCTTCTAGGACTGACCGGTTTGAACGCCTTGCAGTCCAAAGGACTCGCAGGAGTCTTCTCCAGCACCATAGTTCAAAGGCCTCAATTCTTTGGCGCTCAGCCTTTCTTATGGTCCAACTTTCACAGCCATACATTGCAACTGGGAAAACCCTGGCCTGGACTATACGCACTTTTGTTGGCAGGGTGATGTCTCTGCTTTTTAGTATGCTGTCTAGATTTGCCATAGCTTTCCTCCCCAGGAGCAAGCATCTTTTAATTTCTTGGCTGCAGTCCCCATCTGAGGTGATCTTGGAGCCCAGAAAAAATAAAATCTGTCACTACCTCCATTTCTTCCCCATCTATTTGCCAGGAATTGAGAGGGCCGGTTGCCATAATTTTGGTTTTCTTAATGTTGAGTTTCAAGCCAACTTTTGCACTCTCCTTCTTCACCCGCAACAAGAGGCTCTTTAGTTCCTCTTCACTTTCTGCCATTAGAGTGGTATCATCTGCATATCTTAGGTTGTTGATACTTCTCCCGGCAATCTTAATTCCAACTTTTGATTCATCTAGCTCTGCCTTTCTCATGATATGCTCTGCATATAAGTTAAATAGGCAGGGCGACAGTATACAGCCTTGCCGGACTCCTTTTCCAATTTTGAACCAATCAGTGGTTCCGTGTCCAGTTCTCACTGTTGCTTCTTGACCCGCATATAGGTTTCTCAAGAGACAAATAAGATGGTCTGGTATTCCCATCTCTTTAAGAACTTGCCACAATTTGTTGTGAGCCACACAATCAAAGGCTTTTGCATAGTCAATGAAGCAGAAGTAGATGTTTTTCTGGAACTCCCTAGCTTTCTCCATGATCCAGCGTATGTTGGCACTTTGATCTCTAGTTCCTCTGCCTCTTCGAAATCCTGCCTGTACTTCTGGTAGTTCTCGATCCACATACTGCTGGAGTCTAGCTTGTAGGATTTTAAGCATAACTTTACTAGCATGTGAAATGAGTGCAATGGTGCGATAGTTAGAACATTCTTTGGCATTGCCTGTCTTTGGAATTGGAATGTAAACTGACCTTTTCCAATCCTGTGGCCACTGTTGAGTTTTCCAAATTTGCTGGCAAATTGAATGTAGCACTTTTTACTGCATCGTCTTTTAAGATTTTGAATAGCTCAACTGGAATACTGTCACCTCCACTAGCTTTGTTGTTGCTCAGATTTTCTAAGGCCCATTTCACTTCACATTCTAGGATGTCTGGTTCGAGGTCAGTGACCATCTCATTGTGGTTATCTGGGATGTTAAGCTCATTCTTGTATAATTCTTCTGTGTAATTTTGCCATCTCTTCTTAATCTCTTCTGCCTCTGTTAGGTCTCTGCCATTTTTGTCCTTTATCATGCCCATCTTTGCATGAAACGTTTCCTTCATATCTCCAATTTTCTTGAAGAGATCTCTGGTCCTCCCTATTCTGTTGTTTTCTTCTATTTCTTTGCACTGTTCATTTAAGAAGGCATTCTTATTTCTTCTAGCTACTCTCTGGAATTCTGCATTCAATTGGGTGTATCTTTCTCTTTCTCCCTTGCCTTTCGCTTCCCTTCTTTCCTCAGCTATTTGCAAAGCTTCCTCAGACAGCCATTTTGCTTTCTTGCATTTCTTTTTTTTGGGGATGGTTTTAGTTGCTACCTCTTGTACAATGTTGCGAACTTCCATCCATAGTTCTTCAGGCACTCTGTCTATCAGATCTAATTCCTTAAATCTATTTGTCACCTCTACTGTATATTCATCAGGAATATGATTTAGTTTATACCTGAGTGGCCTAGTGCTTTTCCCTACTATTTTCAATTTAAGCCTAAATTTTGCAATGAGAAGCTCATGATCTGAGCCACAGTTAGCTCCTGGTCTTGTTTTTACTGACTGTATACAGCTTCTCCATCTTTGGCTGCAGAGCACATAGTCAATCTGATTTCTATGTTGACCGTCTGGTGATGTCCATGTGTAGAGCCGTCTCTTGGGTTGTTGGAAAAGAGTGTTTGTTATGACCATCGTATTCTCTTGAGAAAATTCTATTAGCCTGTGCCCTGCTTCATTTTGTACTCCAAGGCCAAACTTGCCTGTTATTCCGGTTATCTTTTGGCTTCCTACCTTAGCATTCCAATCCCCCATGATGATAAGGACATCATTTTTTGGTGTTAATTCTATAAGGTGCTGTAGGGCTTCATAAAACTGGTCAATTTCATCCTCTTCAGCACCAGTGGTTGGGGCATAGATTTGGACTATTGTGATATTGAATGGTTTGCCTTGGATTCGAATTGAGATCATTCTGTCATTTTGGGGATTGTATCCCAGTATTGCTTTTCCTATTCTTTTATTGACTATGAAGCTACTCCATTTCTTCTGAGGGATTCTTGCCCACAGTAGTATACCTGATGGTCATCTGAGTTAAATTCACCCATTCCTGTCCATTTTAGTTCGCTGATTCCTAAGATGTCGATGTTCAGTCTTGTCATCTCTTTTTTGACTACGTCTAGCTTGCATTGATTCATGGATCTTACATTCCAGGTTCCTATGGAGAAAAAATCTTTACAGCATCGGACTTTCCTTTCACCACCAGATATATCCAAAGCTGAGCGTCCTTTCGGCTTTGGCCCAGTCGCTTCATTCTTTCTGGCGCTACTAGTACTAGCCCTCTGCTCTTCCCCAGTAGCATATTGGACACCTTCCTACCTGAGGGGCTCATCTTCCAGCATCATATCTTTTTGCCTTTTAGTACTGTCCATGGGTTTTTCATGGCAAAGATACTGGAGTGGTTTGCCATTTCCTTCTCCAGTGGATCACATTTTGTCAGAACTCTCTGCTATAACCTGTCCATCTTGGGTGGCCCTGCACGGCATAGCTTATGGCTTCATTGAGTTACGCAAGCCCCTTCGCCATGACAAGGCAGTAATCCATAAAGGGGTTGTTCTTATTAGATAATATTTATTAGATATTTAATTGTTTTTTTAAGTGACATTCTTGTTTCTTTTTTAAATGATTTGATTCTGTACAGGAGGTCCTTGAAAAGATGTTTTACTGTGTTCCCCTCTATGGTCACCAGATTGCAATCTGGGACCTTGGCTGTGTGTTCATAGCAAGCACCCTATGACCATGTGATCTCCATTTGCCAGCTTCTCTGCCTGCTTCCCTAGTGGAGCAGGGAAACTTACAAAGTGTTGCTGCGTAACTGAGATTTCCTTCTGCCAGACAGCTCTTTGAGAATGAAAGGGCTGCTTGCTGGGAAAAAAACTCAGCTATTGGAGAGAATCTCAGCCATTTCTGCTGTCCTTCCAAAGAGTTCGAAGGACTGCAGAAATGGAGGTCAGACATCAGAAAGTCTGACCTCAGTTTCTGTAACCCCTCAAAGGAGTTATCCTTACGTAGGGAAAGAAAACTCTTTTGAAAGGCTGCAGAAATGGAAATCAGAGCCAGAAGATTTGAGGCCTATTTCTGCAGTCCTTCAGAGGTGTTCCCCTTCATGCATTGAGGGGAGCCAAACTCCTCCGGCAGGGTGGAGAAATGAAGATCAGCTCCTGAGATCCTAGCTCCATTCTTACTTCCTGCCAGAGCAGTTCTCTTCTGGCAGGAGATACGAACTCTAGCAGGCTGCAGAAACAAAGGTCGGATCTTCAGGATCCAAGTTTTGTTTCTGCAATCTGCTACAGAGGTTCCCTTCCCTTACAGAGGGGAAGGGAAATCCTCTGGTAGGCTGCAGGAATGAAACTTGGATCCTGAAGATACACACTTGGGTTCTAGAGCCCGCTGCAGGAGTTCCCTTTTGTTCACGGCGTTTAGCTGCCTGCCCTACTGCAGGAGGCAGGTCTTTTGCTCCATCTGCTTAACAACCGGCATGGTTGCTTAACTACTACAACTGGAACAGCTGGGATTATCTTTGTTGAGTGAAGCAGAGTGCCTCACGTAACAACCGTTTTGCTCAACAACCAAGATTCCAGTTCCAATTGTGGTCGTAAGTTGAGACTATATGTATTGGTTATTATCTAACACAGTGGTTCTCAACCTTTTTAATGCCACAACCCCCAACCGGTCATAAGTTGAGGACTACTCATCTGGTGCAGCACCATTTGCAGAATGGGACTTTTGGCGGGCTCAGCAGGGCAGAGACAGCCTGGACAATTCCTATTGGCTTTTGAAAGCCAATAGAATTAGACTCTATTCAAGAGAGTCTATTCTATTGGCTTTCAAAAGCCAATAGAATAAAAGGGAGTAGCACAGCTAAGGACAAGGGGAAAAAAATGGCGGACTGCGTTGTTTGGCGACCCCCATGAAATGGTCGTTCGACCCCAAATGGGGTCCCGACCCACAGGTTGAGAACCACTGTTCTTGATAAAGGGAAGTCTATGGATGGAATTGATGAGATGCTGAAAAAGAAAGAGATGATAAGTGTTAACACAGACAACAAATAAAGTGGCATATAAAGAGGAAATAAGGATAAATTGCAGTATAAAAGATTGTGGAAAAGTACTATAAATGCCATTTGTGTAAAGTAGATATATTTTCTTTCTTTCTTTCTTTCTTTCTTTCTTTCTTTCTTTCTTTCTTTCTTTCTTTCTTTCTTTCTTTCTTGTTTTACTCCTTTTTTATACATTGTAGAATGTTGCTTCCTCTAAAAGAATAGTATGATGGATATATTGTAACTGTAGATCAAATCGTATATAAGAAAAATGCATGTACTTTTCTGATTCTTAACTGATTCAAACTTTTTTCTGGTTTTTATATACTATAGGAACAGCCTGAAAACGTTCTGAATATTGAAGTGCCTACATTGCCAGAGTCTAGAAATGAAACATCTAGGACTAATGCCCAACTACTTGAAGTAGTATTATCTATAGATCAAGCATCAGAAACTTCCGGGCCAGCTCCAAAAGCTTCAGTGCCACAAATTGAGACTCAGTCTCCTTCTTCCTCTTTCCAAACTCTTGGATCTTTGCTGACTCAGAAAAAAGGTTTAGTCAGATCAGTGGAAGCCATTGTGCAGGTTCAAGAAACAGCACCAAAAGAGACTGCTCCACCAGCTCAAGTTGCTGAGGAACTTCCTGAGAATGAGCCAATACCAACAGTTTATCTAGATCCTTTTGAGATTTCACTTCAATATGTGGAGAAGCATAACATCCTGCAGATATTTCAGGTGACTTCTTGCCCTTACCAACTATTTAATTTGAATATGAATATTGCAGTTGTTGAGTTGAATTACCTTACCCATCCTTGTGTAGGCAAGTTTTTGAATTCAGGACCCAACAAATTAGAGATTACCAACTTTTTCTTGAGATTACAGTTACTTCATCCTAGTTTCAAGAATATAAAATTCCCTGTTTGTCCCCTGATTACTTAACTGTCTTTTGTATCTAATTCAATGCAAGATAACAATACCCTGTTTCTCTGAAAGTAAGGCCTACCCCAAAAATAAGCCCTAGCTTGATTTTTGGGGGTGGGCTTAATATAAACCCTACCCCCAAAATAAGCCCTAGTTTTGGGGTAAGGCACACACTTAAAAACCAAGCTAGGGCGGGGATGGGGGTGTGGATCTGCCCCATGCACTCTGCATCCACTTACCTTGCAGCCAGGCCTCACTGGTCCACTTCTGAGGTGTCCTCTGCAGCCAGGCCTGCATTTCTCAGTCAGGCCTGCGTATCTGGAAAGGCCACTGCAGCCGAGAACCGAGCCATGGATCCATAGCTCAGTACTTGACTACAGAGACCTTCCGGAAATGCAGGCCACAATGCAGCTGCAGAATAAAGCTACTCCTTCAGCTGCAGAAGTGGACTGGCTGAGCAGGGCTGTCAGTGCAGGAGGTGAGTAAAAAAGACACCCCCTCCCCCCCAAAATAAGACCTGGTGCCTCTTTTGGAGGCAAAAAAATAATAATAAAAAATAAGACCCAGTATTATTTTTGAGGAAACATGGTATATTAACCACTTAGATTTTCACTATTATTAATATTATTCTTGGGAAACAACTATCAAGGGTAACCTTCAAGAAACAGTTCAAATTTCTATGCTCCAAATTTGCCTTTAAAAACAAAATAGTTCCACTTTTGGATACAGGTTATTATATTGATATAGCTGGTCCTCTACTTACAATGATTCATTTAGTGAATGTTCAAAGTTACAGTGACACTGAAAAAACTGACTTAAGCCTGGTCTTCTTCACCAACATCCCCATATTATTGCCAAGAAAGCTACACAGATATGTTAACATAGTCACTAGGAGTTGAGATTGATTCACAATCAATCAGAATAGAGCTGGAAGGGACCTTGAAGTTCTTCTAGTCCAAACCCCTGCTTAAGCAGAAGACCCTATACCAGATGTCTTATTTTGTGGCTGCTCACCCGCTCCATCCCACCGTCTGGTTACTTGCAGCTGCAACGGGGCAGGAGAGCATGCATCACACTGGTGCCGCCACTACAACATGAGGCAAGGCAGGTGGGAGGTGGAACTGCCTTATGTGCCCCATGCCCGCTGACCTCAGGGCCCCCACAGCCAGGTCACTCACGCCTCATTTCGTGGCAGCAGCAGCAGCAGCAGCCCTGTCCAGCAGGAGTCTGTGTGGCCACTGGCCCATTTGTCTGGTTGCTTGCGGTCGCAATGGGATAGAGCATGCATCACGCCTGTGCCGCTGCCACAAGTGAGGCGAGGCAGGTGGGGAGTGGAGGTGTCCCATACACCCCGCACCCTCTTACCTCAGAGCCCCTGCAGCCAGGCTACTCCCCAATCAGCAACCTCCCTCAACCTAGCTGCCTGCCCACCTCTTTCCTTTCATTCCCCTCCCAAGCCAGACTGCCATGATATGGAGGATGGGTGTGGGAGGCTCATTCACTTTACCCGGTCCCTGTCTGCCATTTCAGAGCCAGGGGATGTTGATGGAGAAAGGCCTCCACCGCCGCTGCCACTGGAGGAGCCTTCTTCAGTCCCCACTGGCCCCGCCCTGCTGGCTCTGTCCCGCAGATCACCTACCCGGTGGTAGTCATCGCCTCCTCCGCCGCCTACTGCTTCGGTCCTGCATTGTTGCATCACACTGATCCCCGTTCGCCGCCTGTATTGTATGGTTTCAATGACAGCAGCTCTGGAGGCTGGTGGTAGGCTCTCAGCATTGTCCCTGGGCTGGTGGTTTCGAAGTCATGGTAGCACAGTATTAGGTGCACCCCTCCACCAGCCCTGGTATAACTGTCCCATGGCTGTGTGGACAGAGCCGCAAAGGGGGCCAGGGGGCTGAAATCGCTAGCACAGGAATGATGCCGAGAGCCTACCCCCAGCCTCCAGAGCTGCCACTATTGAAAACATACAATAGGAGGCAAATGGGGAGTAGGCAGCATGACACAGTTCCGAAAGACCCAAGTGGCAGGCGGAGAAGGAGGAGGTGGTGGCGGTCCCTGCCAGGCCAGTGATCTGTGGGGGTGGGGCTGGCAGGGACCAAAGAAAGCCCTTCCAGCAGCAGATGTGCCTGATGCACAGCAGTGGTGGAGGCCTTTTGCCGTCACTCCCCCTAGCTCTGAAACGGTGATGGGGGACCAGGTAAAGAACCAAGCCTCCCCCATTCATCCTCCGTAGCATGACAGTCTAGCTCGGGAGGGGAGTAAAAGGAAAGAGGCGGTCAGGCAGCCAGATCATTGAATGGGTTGGGGGAGGTCACCAAGCAGGGAGTAGCCTGGGTACGTGGGCCCTGAGGTAAGCAGGTGCACGGGGTAGCTCCATCTCACCTGCCTCGCCTCAACTTGTGGCAGCAGCACAGGTGCAACACACAGTCTCCTGCCCCATTGTGACTGCATGCAACCAGACAAGTGGGCCGGCGGCCACCAAGGCTCCTGCTGGATGGGACTGTTGTTGCTGGTGCTACTGCCATGAGGCAAGGCAGCTGATGGGGCATGGGTGGCTTGCCTGCGGGAGCCCTGAGGAAAGTGGGTGTGGGGCACATGGGGTAGCTCCATCCCTCCACCTTGCCTCACTTTATGGCGGTGTCACCAGCGCACTGAGTGGCCTTCTGCTCCGTTGCGGCAGCAAGCAACTAGACAGTGGGATGGAGTGGGTGGGCTCTTAACTAGGGCTTATTTTTGGGGTAGGACTTATATTAGGCACTAAAAATCATGCTAGGGCTTATTTTCTGGGTCGGTCTTATTTTCGTGGGAACATGGTAGCTCTTCTTTGCACTTTTTCCAAAGTCTCAACATCTTTTTTGTAATGTAGTGACTCAAAGAACACTTCATTTTTACTACAAAAGAAACTGAAAAACAAAGGACAGATATTGGGGAGGAGTATACATTTCATGCTAAATTAATTACATTTGTTGGTGGTTTTGATTTTTGTTTCTTGTTAACACTTGGAGTGTGTGCGTTTCTATGATGATTCTAGTTTAGGGACATGTGTGATCAGTAAAGTCTATGATAGCTCAGCCATGACAGCATCATCAGATACATTTAACTTGGACTTTTAGCTGTTCAAATAAAAGTCTGAATGTATATGTAGAAATACCAAATGATATAATCACTTGCACTTATATATATATTGTGCATTCCTATTATTCCCATTTTAAAAAGTGACCCATTTTTATATGAGACAATATACTTTTGCATCTTTTTTATAGAATCATAGAGTTGGAAGGGGACTTTTATCCCAGTGAATCCAACCCCTGCTTAGTGCAGGAATTCAAATTAATGTATCTACAATAGATGGCTATCCAATTTCTGCCTGAATATAACCAGTGAAGGAGAAGCCACCATCATTCTGGGTAATTTGTTTCACCATTGAACTGCTCTTATCACTACTTTTTTTTTCTAATGTTCAATCAGAATCTGTCTTCTTTTAAATTTGACTTGACTTTCTTCTATGTGACATCTTTTCAAGTGTTTGGAAAGTCCTATCTTACGCACATCCTTTTTTTCACTTTTGAAGACAAAACATTCCCAGTCCTCAGTATATCTTCATAGGATTTAAGTCTTTAATTCCATCATCTTGCTCACTTCTGGGTCTATTCCAGTTTTCTTAAGTCCTTAAATTGTTGTCTCAAGAATGGGATACAGCACAATTGATAGGGTAGGACCAAACCAAAATGATGTACAAGTAGTGGTTAAAGACTGTTCAAAGTTGCAATGGTGCTGAACAAAGGGGATCTTCCATGGGTCCTTGTATTTGTGGCTGTCACAGCATCCCTACAGTCATATGATCACAATTTGAGTTCTTGGCAGCCAGTTCGCAACTATGACATTGTAATGTTCAGTGGTCAGTATTACATGTTTACTATTTGTGACCTTTGCTGCTGGCTTCCAACATTAAATCAATGGGGAAGCTGGCAGGAGATCTCAAATGATCATGGGATACTGCAACTACACAGGATTTGCCTAGTGACTGCTCATGAGAGTGCCACAACTGCTGTAAGTCAGTGCAGACACGTGACATTGTGCTTTACAACAGCATTGCTTAGCAATGAAGTTGCTAATCACAATTACCATCATTAAATGAGTATTAGCTATAAAACTATTGGATTTATATTCTTTCCTCCAGGAAGACAAGGAGCTTATATGGGAATTTCCCTTCATTTTATCCCAACAACAATCCTATGAGGTAGGCTGGATTGAGAGAGTGACTAGCTTAAAGTCATCCAGTGTGTTTCCATGGCTGAAGGTGGCCTTGGTCTTCCTGTGATTTAGAACCTGTATTTTGATGCAGCCTTCAATTCCATTTTTTTTGTAGACACATCTTTGTTACTTGCTTTTTATGAAAAAAATGTAATTACTACTTTCTTTATATTCAGGAGATTACAGAAAATTTGGTATATGAGAAACCTGAGAATCCATTAGAGTTTATATTAAATCAGGTATGTTTGTTATACTTTGGTGAAGAAAAAGTTGCAGTTTTGAGGATAGCTAGTTAGCTAGACAGACAGACAGACAGACAGACAGATAGATAATGATTTAGAAAAGATAGCCGTAGTACAGGTAATCTTTGGCTTATGTCCATTCAATCAGTGACCATTCAATGTTATGGCAGCACTGAAGAAATGGATAGATAAGTTCACTTCCCAAAGTACCAGTCATTGCAGTTATGTGATCATAATCCTGCTTGCATTTGGCATTCTGATGTTATAGGGATCTGCAATCATATGCTCATCAAACAAAGTTAGTAGGGAAGCTAGCTGAAAAGGCTGCAAATCTCTAGTAAGTGGTTCTTTAACTATGTTTCTCATCTCTTCCAACTTAACTTGCATTTCTCGTGATTATGATAGCAACCAGGACTGCTTGGGATTGCCATCATAAAGCAATATACTCACATGATGTTGTGCTTTATGATTGCAGCACTTAGTGTCTCAATTGCTGTCATAACCTGAGGACTATCTGATGCAGGAAATAAATCTATGATAATGCCAGAGAGCATTTGTATGTCCTGAGTTGAATTATGGGAGAAAATTGTGTTGACTTATGGAAGGTAGTAGGGCTATGTAGCAATCTGGATTTAATCTTGAAGAGCTTCTGTGGAACTCTGAGGAGCATAGGGACAGCATTTTTCTGTGAGTCATTAAAGCAGCTTTGTTTCTTTCCATATTGCAAAGCTGCAGCAGAAGCCTTCTCACAACAATAAGTAACTGTTTTAATGAGTCCTGGGAAAAAAGTTGCTTTCTACTCCCATATATTTTGAAGTACCTCTTCCAAATCAAACCCAAAACATTGCACAGTGTTAGAAAACAAAAAGATAGACCTGATAATCCATAGGTAAGTACCATCTGAGCCAGCAATTTCTGCACATTCCAGAAGTAGGCAAATCTAATTTGATATGCAAATCTGGAAAAAGGAACATAATTGATTTGTTTACCAGAGAAGAAAACAATAATGGCAAAACATTTTGTTTTTCATCAACTAGCAAGCTAGGACTTTATGGCACCAACTGTGATAGAAATTAGAACACAGATTTTGAATTGTGTACATTTCTACAGTGTGTGTAATTTTGGCTTTTAGTCAAAATCTGATGATACTTGCAGTAATAATTATTGCCTTGCAAAGAAAAGTGGTGCTAAATTTCAAATCAGCAGTTTGAGGAGAAAAGTGGCATAAGAAATACAATGCCTTTTTGTGAATATGATATAAGTCATTTTCAGGGGTTGACGCAAAAACATTTCCATAAAGCAAATAAACATGAAATTAGCAGATTAACATAGGTCCAAATATGTCATCAAACAACTCTAGAAAATGGGAGACTAAGTAACAATAAGACTGAGCAGAGTACATCTTAACTCCCAACATTTCTCTAACCACCAAGAAGCTAAAAATGGTCCCTGCAGAGGTATCAATTTGAAACCAGTTGGTACTTTCATTCCCTCATCTCCTCTTCTTGGTTTTTTTTTAACATGATTATAGGGGGCACTCTTTACAAGATGCCAGGATTGCAGAAAAACAGATTAGGGCCAGAGCTTCATGGAGATCCAGAATCAAAATAAAATTATTCTGTCCTTCCTGCTCTTATTAAATGAATATATGTTCTGAATTATCCCACTTTGCCTGGAACTTAATGTACCTTTTGCAGATATATTTAGCAAATACCTCTTGGTTTAACAAAACAGCCACCTTGCCATCAGGTAAATTATATATGGAGGAAGTATTTGTCACAGGGTGGATTTGATTTAAATCAAGTCGATTTAAATCACGATTTAAATCAGGATTTAAATCACTAGTAAAAAGGCTTGATTTAAATCAACTCAATTTAAATCATAATTTTTAAAGAACAACTGTCATCTCTGTCCTGCAGTGGCTCCTCCTCTGACCCGTTGTTGACTCACCGGCAGTCCCATTCACTTTAATGGGACGGATGGTGATGCGACAGTGACACAACATGAGGGACGTGGCAGGCAGCAGGTGAGTGGATGCCCACTAACAGGTGCTGCCATGATGGATCTGAAATGACAGGTGCTCTTTAAATGTAAGGACTCATTCTTGCTGGTAGTTAAAATCTTTAATATTATTATTTGCAAACAAAATAAAGGTTTCCTATTTAGAATAATAAGCTGTCAGGTTAGTAAAACAGCGATATCAGAACTGATTTTAGGTTAATAGGTTAATCACACATAGTTGGAGAACTACTCAAATTCTTTTATTTAATTAAAACACTTAGAGCCTGGTACAGATGTATTTCTCTTCAAACAGTCATACAGTTTGTAGTGTATGATTTGCAAAACAATGGGATAGAGGAATATTCCTGAATTTTGTTTTATGATTTATCTCATGGTTATTGTGAAATCGTGTGAATGCATCAATGCAATGTATGTTATCTCAGCTTGCAGAGCTTGGATTCATTGCATGAGTGTATCAAAAATGTAAATATTGCAGAATATACAGCCTTATGCTATATAACTAAACTCCATTTCATGCTGAATAAACTAAATTGTTAATCTATCTTAAATTGAAAACTATCTTTAGATAGATTTTTACTCCAAAAGCATTTTATTAAAATAAAAAAAATCCGATTTAAATAAAAAATCCATTTTTTTATTTTTATTTTTAAAAATAGATTATTAACCACCCTGATTTGTCATGATGTTTTAATCAATATACCTACACAGATACAAATATAATGTGAATAGTATGTCCTATGGCGTGTTCTAAAGCATTAATTGGAGGCATTTTTCCTCCAATCCTCCAGACTTTGATGGCTGCAGGGGGCATAATGCAGTGAAGTTACTGGATGTAGAGATCTTAAAATATTTCATAGGATCTTTTGAGGGGATCTTGGACGTTTTCTATTTCAGCATCTTGCTTAGGGCGGAATCCTCAGATCATATCAAATGACTGTCCAAACCCTCTAATGATAGAAAACCCATGACTCCAGGAGGCAAGCCGATCTATGGTTTAACAGCTCTCAGAGTCAGGAAATTCTTCCTTATTTTTATGTTTGGATTCCTCTCTATAAAGTTCCCACCCATTCTTTCTTATCCTAAGAGACTAAGGAGAATAAATCAACCATTTCTCTGCAGCCATGTTTTTTTCCCTTTTCAGAAGCTCAGGAGGGAAGACATGGTTCATATATATTTTGTATGCCGCCCTGAGTCCTTTGGGATTGGGCGGCATATAAATAAATTAAATAAATAAATAAATAAATATATGGAGGCAACTTCTTCCCTATTAGGGATGTAGCCACCGAGAAGGCCCTGGTCCAAGACCTCTGTAGATGTTATAGGGTGGGCAAGGCTTTAAAAATGACTAGCAACTAATGCAGATTCTAGAATAGAGTGCTATATAGGCAAATCTCTAAGCTCAACCTGAACTACTGCAAGCTGAATCAGTTTAAAGCTCTGGGTAGTTTTCCAGGGCAGGTCCACATAGTTGATGTAGTTCAATTATGTGATAATAAGGACCTGAATTCTCCCTGGTCCAGAAAAGCTCACAATTAGTACACAAGATGTAATTGTCACAGTTATGATAATTACATAAAATATTTGCATTATCTGTACCCAAAATAGTATGAATATTATTAATTGCATTAATTAGACATTCTACTGTGCAACAGCACCACACATACAAAGTCTGAAGTAAACTAGATTTCATCCTCATAAGATGTCTTCTATACTGTAATAACTTATATTTGAAGAATCTGTATTGTAATGACTGGAAGCTTAGATATTTTGTTTTCTGTTTTTTTCTAGGTCCAGACAATGATAAATCAGAGGAGTCAACCAAAGGAAGAGGAAGATGAAGAGCAATAATAAATACAGACAACTGAAAATTTAAGAATATATCTCTGGACATTCTAATGAGGGCAACATATCCATGCTACCCATTTTTATCCTCTCTGTATGCATAGCTTATAGAGCTAAACAATATCCATTGTAACTGAATACTTCCCATGCAGATGCTATGTGAATTACCTAGAATAACAACAACCACAAAACCATAATTGCCTTAGCACAGATAGCAGAGAATTTAGGAAACACATATTCACATAAGCTTTGTACTTCCCATTAGTACTATTGCACTAATCTTCTTCATAGTCTGAAAGGTTGTATGATCTTATGAAAGTAGTTGATCTGCAGAATGGGTGATGTAAATAATCTGTTCCTGCCTTCTATGAGTGGGAATGTAAAAGCAAACTCCTTTCACATAAAAAAAAAAAAAACATTCTAGGATTTCAGAGGCTAGCCTCACCTTTTGGTGTAAATTTGACACTTGTAAAGATGCTTAGGTTTTCTTAGATAAATAAGTATGAAAATGTGAAGTGCCGTTTGCAGAGTAAAGCAGAGCTCTCCTGATTTATAAATATAATTTATTTTAATATCTTTAAGAGAATGGTTCCCAGACTGTTCATCAACATGGAAAGGATATGGTTTGGTACTGTTTAAAGAGCCACATCTTGGTTGCTAACTTACACTAGTTATGTGTCATACTAGTTTAAATAGCAATTCTTCATCTTAGCCTAATTATGAATTGGCTGTGGTTAATAGACAACCCTACCAGGTGAACTCTTCATAATTTACAGTGTGATTGAAATTAATATTGCGTTAAACTTAAAATCCAGGTGCCAGAATTTATTTTTCATTATATTGTTTGGAAACATTAATTGCAATTTCTGATTGAACTTGTTTGGAAATGGAGATAACTGTAATGAAAGTGAATAAGATTATGATATGTAGAAAAGTAATTCTTTCTTACCCTCTAATGGCCATCTGGAATTTTCCAGCCCAGACTTGGTCGCTCTGGTTTTATGCTAGCATCAAAACAATAAACTCTACCTTTGCTTCCACCTTTGATATTCCTATCTATCATCAGTCAGATTGTCTGTCTGTCTGTGGGTATCTATCTATCTATCTATCTATCTATCTATCTATCTATCTATCTATCTATCTATCTATCTATCTATCTATCTATCTCCACCCACCCACCCACCCACTTTGGAGATGTTACTGATGCTAAATGGAAAGGAAATAGAAAGTATTAATTAACCAGGGAATCAGTTATGTGTTTTCTATGTCTTCAGAATGTCTAGGAATGAAAGGATATACAGGTGATCCTTGATTTAAAACCACAATTGGGACCAGAATCAAGGTAGTTGCTAAGTGAGTTGTGCCTGAATTTATGGCATTTTTGCATAGTTGTGAAGTGAAACATTGCAGTTGTTAAAGCAAATCTGGCTTCCCCTATTGACTTTGCTTGTTGGAAACTGGCTGGGAAAGTTGCCAGCATGGTAATTACATGATCTGGGATGCTGCAACTGTTGTAAATACATGTTAGTTGCCAAGTGCTTGAATTTTGATTACATGACCATGGGGATGTGACAGTTGTAAGTATGAGGATCAGTCATAAATCCTTTTTACAGTGTTGTTGCAACTTTGAATGATCGCTAAACAAAAGGCTATAAAATAAGGAATACCAGTATATGTTCAGAATTTTAGAGAGTTTTGTATAGTGGCATCAGGCTAGAAACCAGGAGACTGTGAGTTCTAATCCACTTTAGACATGAAAGCTGTCAGTGACTTTAGCCAATCACACTCTCAGCCCATAACACCAGGCTCTGGCAAGAAGCTGACAGTCAATTCCGGTCACAACCAATGGATCAACACTCTGTTGAAAAAAATAGACACTAGGAAGAAAGTATGTGTGTGTATTCAGAATTTTGCTCTAGTTGTGGTTGGCTCTGAGGCCCCAAACAATAGATTGAAGATTTTTTCCAAAGGCATTTTAAGTAACTTTGAATTGAATGGCTACTATGTTCTGAGGCATTACAGAGTTTAAAATTATATAGGAGTTTTCTAGGTAGCATCCTGGCAACCATAAAGTTCCAGGACAGTAGTATCTTCCTTTAAGTGCAGGCAGCAGAATAAGGTTGCAAATTGTCCCCTTATGCATTGGTGTGAAAGGCACTCCTTTATTTTTATGTCATTTTAGAGTTATTAACCATGCAAGAAAACTAATATTTGTGGATCAGGGAATTATCTTAAAAATCATATTTGGTATAATAATAGGGAATTCATGTTCTAATAGCTCTACCCAGGCACAAAAGAGAAGTAAGAACATAGCTGGGTAACTGAGTTATTCAGAATGAGAAAAAAAAATCAAAAGAAAAGAAGGTATTTTTTTAAAAAAGTCAGACATTTCTCTGAGCCATAAGCATGCTTTTGCCAGTTGTGTGCAAAAATCTGCATCCTTACAGAATAGAATATCTTAAAATAAATCATGGTTGGAAGAATAGAAACATTCACCACAACATTTATTTTCTTGCAATTCTAATTAATCAAATACTATAGTGGGGAAATCATATTAAAACTTTTTTAATATTTCTGTCTGTGACCACTAGATGGCATGAAAAGCTTGTAATCTTCTTGCTGAAGAAACTTAATTGGTGACAGGGCTGCAAGAAAGTAAAGGAACAAGTAACAGGGTCATACCAAAATCAGCTAATCAAAGAAAAAAACTGAACATAAAATATACTTCCAAGGACTACATCTTCAGCTCCATCTAAAATAAAAACATCCTTCAGCACTAACAAATCTGAAGTCATGAAGAATTACTACTACTTTTATGGTTTTCCAGAATGGTCAGAGATTTACAGTGTTTTGAAGTTTCTTAATACACATCATAATATGTTCCATTTCTAACATTTCAAACAGTTAAAAATGTATAAAATTTACATTTATTATTCCTATAAACCAAGGACCTCAACAAAGCACTGTTGATTAAAGTTAAGATGGCTATTTAAGATGTAGTTTTTAACAACTCGTCTTCTATATTTGCAATTTCAGAATTGACAAATGGCTATTCAGTTAATTTTTCAAATAGTTTCTGGGTGGAGTAATTTAGCTGCTGTTTCTGTTCCGACCCATCTTTCTGAATCTAGAGAAGCTTTGGAAGCAATCAGAAGGAAATTGCAATTATTTTTAAACAATTTGCCAATAATGTGTATGTTAGCTCTATAAACACATTTGTTAACTGAGTGTTTGGGCTGTATGTCTTTGAGTCTTTTTTATATTATGGGAATGAGGAAATAGCTGCCATCTACTTGATATGTCCCCAGATAGCTAACCATGTGGGAATGGGACCGATGGCTTGAAGAATAGATAACCTGTGCAATGATAAATGTCATAGCCATCACTGAAACTTGGTAGGGTGACACATGTACTTGAAACATAGCCTGGGGATGCTATAACTTATTTGAAAAGAATGCCCTCAACAAAAATTGTGCTACATATAAAATAAAGCACACACCAAAAGTTAATGTATTGTTAAGAGCTTTGACATAAGAATAAAAGAAGAGAGAAATCAATGTGACAGCCTTTTGGCATTTATTATAAACTGCTTTGAGAGGCAGCAGATACAGATCTTTTTCTGTGTCTGGTAACAAAAATTTCCAAAGAAGCACACAATGGTGATAATGGGAGATTTTAGCCGTCTTGAACAGTGCTATACATCTAACCCTGCCAAGAGTCAGTGATCCAACTAAGTCCTGTCATCTTTTGTAGACAACTGTCAGGAGATAAAAGAACAATGATCTAATCTTTCTCAAGAAGGATGAATTGGGGGGGGGGAGTGACCATGTTATCCTTGAATTCATGATATCAAGGGCACAGAAATTGGGAAGAGTCATGTGTTACGATATCCTAGGCCGAGATTTCGTTGCGAATAAAGAAACTACAAGCAGGAATGAGGAACAATGCTTTACTAATGAGGTGAAGCATGAATAAAGTCAGCACTGAGAACCATCCGTTCTCAGTGCTCTTATATAGTTCCGGTATCCACCACACCCAACACCACACCTGTATCCCCCACACCCAACACCACCTAGCCCCACCCAATCAACCCCCCGAGAAACCACCATCCGGTCTGCCAAAGCGATAAAACGTCCCAGGTGTTACAAGTCCGTCCTGACAAGCAACTGTCTCTGCGCATGTGTGGAATCACCAGCCCGTCTCTCAGCTGTCTCTGCGCATGTGTGGAATCGCCAGCCCGTCTCTCAGCTGTCTGTGTGCAAGTGTGAATCGTCCCGACCATTAGTGTCAGTGCACATGCGCGAATCGGCCGGGAAATCCTCGCCCTGATGTCGGGCCCAGTTGTTTATTGATGTATTTTTAAGGTTAGTTTGTCTAGAACTGGACATAGTAGTCTAGTGATCTAATAAAACACCTAAATCCTTTTCATATGTATTATGAACAACATAGATCTACCATTCTAAGTTTTTTCCTCTCTAGATACAAGACTTTATACTTTTTCCTGTTGCGCTTTTTATCCATTCATTCCTTCTTCAGGAATTTAAACCTATTTACCTGCCTACCTTTTGAGTTTATCAAAATCTATTCTGAAATTTAGAATAGAATAGAAACAGGATGTCGGGCCCTATGAGGCATTGCTGTGCGGAAACCCACCACCGGTTGCTCCAATAAATAAACTTCTGAGGCTGCCGCTGACACCCCCATGACGTTAATGGTCGGTGTCCTCATGGAGGAACAACCGGAGACACTTTTTTTTCCCACGAGAAGTTGAAATTGACTGATTGAACCTTTCTTTTTTGCACATGGCAGCGGAGGCCTAAAGCGAAAAGGTTTTATAAAACCCAGCTGAAGGCCTAGGACTGGGGTGATGACACGCGTGCCCACAGAGAGGGCTCTGAGTGCCACCTCTGGCACCTGTGCCATAAGTTCGCCACCACTGACTTAGGGCTAGGGTTAGGTCACCATGAATTCATTGAGCAAAATAGACATCACCAACAAATTTGGAGTGCTTGGGTATGGCTAGGAGATCACTGACTTTTCTAGCCTGCCCTATCTTTCCTAGTAAAATACATGGGAAAATCTTATTGGAGGAAAATTCCATTTAGGGCTAGGGTTAGGTCACCATGAACTCATAGAGCAAAATGAACATCGCCAACAAACTTGGAATACTTGGGTATGGTTAGAAGGGCACTTACTTTTCTAGGTTGCTCTATCTATGTTTCTTGGTAAAATACATGGGAAAATCCCATAGGAGGAAAATTCCACTTAGGGTTAGGGTTAGGTCACCATGAACTCATAGAGCAAAATGGACATTACCAAGAAATTCGGAGTGCTTGGGTATGATTAATGCACTGACTTTTCTAGGCTGCCCTATCTATGTTTTCTAGTAAAATACATGGGAAAATCCCATTGGAGGAAAATTCCACTTAGGGTAAGGGTTAGGTCATCATGAACTCAGAGAGGAAAATGGATATTGCCCACAAATTCGGAGTGCTTGGGTATGGTTAGGAGGGCACTGACTTTTCTAGCCTGCCCTATCTATGGTAAAATACATGGGAAAATCTCATTGGAGGAAAATTCCACTATATCATCCTGGACTAATGGTTGCCCAATCTTTTCTTGAAAGCCTGCAATGATGGACTACTCGTGATTCTGGGATATTCCACTGAAAAATTGTTCTCACTGTCAGGAAATTTCTCTTTAGTTCCAGATTAGATCTCTCTTTAACGAGCTTCCATCCATTGCTTCTTGTCCTGCCTTCTGGTGCTTTGGAGAATAAGTTGCCCCACCTCTGTGACATACCCAATTCTCTTAATTGTTCATTATACTATTTAGCCTCCAGACCTCTTATCACCTTTGTTCCTCTTCTTTGCACTCTTTCCGTAATCTCAGCATCTTTTTTTATCATGGTGACCAGAATTGGACATAGTATTCCAAGTGTGGCCTCAATAGTTCAGTATAAAGCTGTAAATAAAGATAAAGATCACTTTAGTGATCTTGATGCTATCCCTCTGTTGAGGAGTCTAAGACTACATTGACT